ACCCCCCCCCCCTACTTTTCACTCATTCGCGAAAGTTTTTACCCTCAAAAGTTTTGAGCTATACGATACAGGACAGCTCCATGTGCAGCTTCCTATGGTATATAAATAAATAAATAAATAATGATAATAATAATAATAATAATATATATTTTTTAATGATTACATAAGTTTGTCTTTTGTGTGTGCCCTTTCCAGTTGCCTCAATAAAATTGTATGGAATTATTTTAACCTACAAGTGTTATTTCATTACTTTATCTAAAACATCTCTGAAAGTTTGGAAATTTGATTCACTTGTACAGACTGACCTATCACTGTGTAATACACATCATAGTAAACAACATAAAATATTAAAGGACAATAATTATTATTGCCAAATAAACCCGCAGCCAGTAGACAGCATGTACACTGAATGGGGCAGACATCATGACTAGACATACCAATATCTTGTTGGTGTGCCAAACTAATAAAAATTTTGGAAAAAAAAGTATTAAATTTTTATGGGTGAAAAATCCTAGTAGTGCCCTAAATCAGTATCTTGTGAACACCAACATAATTAAAAATCAATTTTCAAGGATGGAAAATCCTGGTGGTGTCCACAATAGCTTTAACATACGATTCATTGTCAAGGATTTTTAACTCGGCATTGTCGGCAAACTTGGGACACCCATAAGTTATTGCATATTTAGTTTATTGCATATAATAGTTTATTGCACCCAACTAGCAAAGGAGGGATGAAAACTGCACATGATCATGCTTATCTTACTGCTACTAATCCTTATGCTACTATAAGAAGAGGAAACACAACTGGAAAGGGAAGCAACAAATCTTCACGTCATTCTGTTACCAAGCAGACCCTAACTAGCTATCCTGTGAATCACACCATCTCAATGACTGGCTCAAGACCTTTAAACATGCTACCCGAGCCTCCTCCACCATATTCTGTATCAGCTCCAACTTGTGATAGATCAATGCAGTATTCGGCATCAATGATGAATCTTAATCCCAAACCACAACCTCCTCCAGTACTGAGCCCAACACATGCAAACAGTACTAGACAGCTACTCCATGCATGGAAGGAAGCTAGTACTGATCACACTCCATCAACTCATAATAAATCTAACACTAAGAAGACTCCTTCAGCTATGCGACAGTATGTTAGCTCACCTGACCTCTCTCCTCAAGAATATCAATACACATCAGAAGTAAAACCAATCAGCTCCACAAGACTAACATTGAATGTTTTCTCTCGCCCTCTTTTAGGAGCTAAGACAAGGCTGACAAGCTGAAATGTATGGTACTACCGTAGGTCGGGTTATATTCGCGACTGCTAATATTCGCGGTGATAAAAACTAATAAAGAAGTTCAATTAAATACCATGGAAACAAACTGATTGTTGCTATGACAATTGACCATGTGTTTATCCCTTTTCCTTACACAACGAAATCATAGATATTATATATCTATGACAAAATTCATAACAATTAGTCTTTTGGACAATGTTTTGAATTATTTGTGTTGTCATGGAAACCACTCATTTTTGGACGCCACACCTCTTGACCACGTCCAATCAGCTATTTTGATCGTTTTTCATAGAGTATCTTTGTGCCTTTCAAGAGCTCTCAGTAGACCTGCAAATTCTATTCCATTCATTTAAAAGTGCTCCAAAGCACCTAAACTGCTTGTACCTGCATTTACTACAACCAGTTTCACTGCTTTTACACACTCCATTAGTGTTAGATTTCATTCAATCAATGACACAACCAATATCATCAACGAATAGTCAACTTTTTGCAAAAAAAAGTGTTGAATAGCAATTATATCAAAGTGCTGACAAAGCATTCTTTCACTTTTCTATTGTTTCCTATGGCTTCTATTTTACCACTAATAATTATTATCAAGAGTAGATTATCTACTCTTGTTATTATTCAATACCAATTTCTGCCGAGAAGGTGTGGTTTCCTGTAAAACGCATGTGTTTGCCCTAAAAAGAGGCATGATAACTGCTTTTTTATTAGCAGGATAGCAGCCGCAAATATAACCATAGATTTATAAAATCTATGATATAACCCAACCTAGTACCTACGGTATTACTCGTCGTAGGAGCACTAAGAGATCTTTGTCATACCACCAGGAGAGGACAGTGCATGCTAACACATTAACTGAGCCTCCATTGTCTTCCTCTCGTCAGCCTACTGTAGCACTGACGATCCCACAAAACAGAAAACCCTCAAAATGAGATGACCCAAGTCTGCATCCAAACATAAGCCAAATTGATAGCATTCTCATAACTTGTGTATTATAGTGTACTATTTATTAACTTTTAAGAACATTTTAATGATGAATCATCTGCAAAATGTGCATACATACTAGTATTTAGGTACCAACCTAGTAAAAATTTTTGGACAAACAATCAATCATTTTATGGGTGAAAAATCCTAGTAGTGTCCACAATAGCTTTAACATACATTACGTCTTCTTTCACATATGATTCATTGTCAAGGATTGTTAATTCGGCAAACTTTGGATACCCAGAGGCGATATTCATGTCTGATTTTGGTCTCTGGAAGCTACTGGAAGTAGGAGATGGTTTGAAAGTCTGCACAATGTGCCTCTTGTGGTCTTGATCCACCATGATTAAAGACACTTCGTAATCAAAGGGCCACTTCAATAATGGATCATATTCACCTATAGAGTGCAAATGTGACAGTGAGACAAATTCATTCAATGGAAAATTGTCTGAAGCTAATATTCATACAATGCAAAACAATGAAAAATGAATCCTCCTTTTAATGAATAATGTATATTTAGTTCACTCTTTACA